CAGAGCCTTGTTCGAAGGATGGATATCCCGCTTTGGATGCCCATCTACCATCACCACAGATCAGGGTCGCCAGTTTGAGTCACCTCTGTTCAGTGAGCTCACACAAATTATGGGAACAAGAAGAATTCGTACTACAGCCTTTCATCCCCAAGCAAATGGCTTAGTAGAACGTTTTCACAGAGTCTTGAAAAATTCTTTAAAAGCCCATGAAAACCCAAGATGGACTGAATCATTACCAACAGTTCTCCTTGGCATTCGAGCTGCTGTTAAAACAGACATACAAGCATCAAGTGCTGATCTTGTGTATGGAACTTCACTAAGACTTCCAGCAGATTTATTTTCCCAAAGTGCCCAAAATACAACTCCATCTTATGAGTATGTGCAGAAACTCCAGGCACAAATGCAGCAGTTAAAGCCATTTCCCAACCAAAATCACCAAACAAGAATCTTTGTGCACCCAGAATTGCAAAAGTGTACACATGTTTTCCTTCGTGTGGACAAAATAACACCACCGCTCACTCAACCATATACAGGTCCCCACAAAGTCATAAGTCGAAGCGACAAAGTTATAAAAATATCCATAAATGTCAGGCAAAGCAATGTTTCCCTAGACAGAGTGAAACCTGCATTCATATATAATGATGAAATACAACAAATTCCTCACGAGCATGAACCTAAAGTCCCAGGAAATACTACTGGAAACTCTGTCAACAATTCCAAAACCACAAAATCTGGATGAATTGTGAAATTTAGCAAGAGACTCATCACAGAAATTGGTTAACTTGATCATAATTACTCTTGAGTTACTCGATTTTCAATGTTCATCATATCACAATTATTCTCTACAAATTTCAGAACTGAAAAACCTTTATTTTCATTTATTCATGTCAATTAGATTTAACCTGTATTACTTTATTTTGTTTTACTTTTTATTTAATTTCATGTATGTAAGTGATTTCAGCAACTGACACAACCCAGCATCCCAATTCCCTTTTGTTTATGCTATGTATGTGTAAATACTGTCGTTCTTTCACTTCGCTTGTTCACTGGGGGGATACTCTTGTTGTGGTTTATCTTATTTGAAAAAGTCTAAAAAAAATATCATACCAATTTAACCCCAGAACAGCTGAGAGATGGCAGCATATAATTACAGACCACAAAATTCTATCCCAAGATTCTCAAGGAGAGAGTCAGTCGTCGAACGCGCGCGATGGTGCACGTGTGTAGTTTGGAGGTGAAGATGAAATAAAATTGTTAGGTTTGAAATGTTGAATCTAATTTGATCTTCTAATAATCATTTTTAACGTATTTCCAAGAAAAGAAAACAAAATTAATTTTACTTTCAGTCTATTTACACAAATCCTTATTATTTTTACTTTTTCGACATTCGAAGGAATAATTATTAGTTGAGGCAAAACTCTTTAAAGCTAAATGTATTCTAAGAAGTACAAAAATTGTAAACAAGATTTTGTACCCCCTCCAAATCAGTCATTAAACTATTCCAACCGTTCAGGAAAACGATAAACATTGTGAACATAAATATCTGCCTTTTTTTATATATACTTTAATAAAAGGAAATATGTTCCTTCTTTTAATATATAAGTTACCGTGAAAGACCGAATTTGGAGAATGTCGAATTTCACCGGAGAATGTCAACATTCACCAAATACGTCGGTGAAAGATCGAATATTGCATTACATTCTCGTACATTCGGACCGTCACCGGTGTATGTCGACAATTACAGATATGCTCTGGTGTAGGTCGGAAAGAGAGGAGTATATGTACACGCTGTCATTGCAAAAGGAAGCGTTCCACAAATAAATGCAGTTGTAAAAGCAAGGGACTCTTGTGCAATTCAAAGTGTCATAATAATATAAATAAGATTTGAATCACATATTTTAGCAAGTTTTTAACTTCTATTGTTTTCCTTTCCCATTTTGAATGTACTGTGCGTTTTTAAGTTCTTATATTCTTATTTTAAGTGCGTTTTTTTCGCGACTGAATTACGGAGAAGAAAATATAATATTCTTATATGTTCAACATTCACCATTAGTACAAGGAGAATGTCAACATTTACCGGTGTAAGTCAGAAATAAGAGGATTTGGAAAATATTTCGGACATACACCAAGCGACTATGTGAATGTTGACATTCACCGGTGAAAGTCGACATTCTCCAGATTTCGGTGTTTCACCGTAACATATATAAAAAAAGGAACCCATTTTCCTTTCTTAACTTTTGAAAGTCGCCAACGCCTAAAAAATGATAAGCTACGCCAAGGTAGTAACCCGCCTTTAAAAAAAAAGATTCACTACAACATTTAGACACCTCGCGGGAGTAGAACAAGGAACTCCTTGGCGTAGAATCCGTTCTTTTCGATTGTGTTCAAATGACGGATCCGACAACTCAATGCGCATGCGTGGTTAATGTTGGTGCGAATAGCATCGGCCGTTATAAGGGAACTCAAGAAGGAAGCCGTTGTTTTTCCGTTAACGCATTTGTTAGATCAAACCGTGTTTACTCAAACTATTGGATACCTGACGAAAGCATCTGCAATACCTGATTGAATACTTGAAGTCAAATTTGAATTTAAAAAATCATCAAATAATCCGTGGTATTGCTATGTAAGCTAATTATAAAACTCCCGTGACACACAAATGGGACGAGGGTGGATCATAATCAGAAAAGGCCACAAAAGATGTTTTACATCCTAAACATATGAAATTTACCATTAATTTTCAATAACAGTACATAAAAATTTAGGCACACTCAGTGAGATACCTCTCTCTCTCTCTCTCTTTCATTTAGAGCTCATTGGGTAGAAGTTAGAAGTGGACTGGTTAGACATGAACTGTATTTTTCACGCTTCTATTGGGAATATTTATCTACTGAAGTTTTAGAAGTTGGTCTTTTAATAGCTAACCATAAACTTTTCGTACACCGTGACACAGATTTGCAATGGAGTTTCATTTTAATACAGTTTCCAGTGTCTTAGTGCTTAACTTTGATTTCTCTTGGCCTCGCCCTGTAATCTGAAACAGAAAAGTTTCTTTCGAACAGTTGCTTTATTTCGTGGATTCCGGGAAAGATTAAACTCTAGAATACTAGAAAAATTTCATGACCTAGGCGCCTTTCTGTCATTTCACAGAAATGCTATATCCAATTATAAGAATGTACTTTTTACTCCATTAATCATATACTATATAATAGCATTATTATTACAATTTTTTAGTTCTGCAGACATCAATATCAATCGAATAATCCAATTCCTTCCTTATCCAGGCATTCATAATACTGGTATGCAGATAAAGATTATGAACAGTATTTTATGACTGACTGGTAAACAAACAAGTCAAAACAGAAGCAGTCTTGCAGACTCCTTTGCTCCTGATGAAGAGAGACCTGTGCCTGTGTGCCTTCGAAATCTATTGAGTTATTGCCAAACTCGTTGTTGCTTTGCTAATTTTGTGATATTTACAGGTTTATTACACCTGGATAAAGCAAGGAGGTTAGAATAGAAGGAGGGAAGGTTCAACTCAAACGGTGAAGCTTGGCGGCCATGTTACTGTTATCACTGTAACTTGTGCAAGGAAGTCTGTAATTGTAACATTTTTCTCCCTTTTCTTTTTGAAGCATGTCAGCTTATATTGCATATGGATGCACAAATAGATTTTCAAAAAATATTCCTGGGATTACTGTTCACTCGTAAGTATTGATTTTCTTTTTTTGTGTGTGTGTGTAATTTCATAAATATGTTAAAAAATATCACAATGTCATGTTGTTTTCTTTCCAGATGTGAAAAAAAAAAGACTTAATAATAATCGAAACATGTTAAGTACATTTTAATGTTTTTGCTTACAGCTGGTATCTTCGTTCCTTAACATACAATGATATGTGCTAGTAATTAAACTGTATGATTTGAACGCTTAGGTAAATAGTTTTATAATTTTCATGAAAAGTAAGAAATCAATTGTTACTATTTTTATGAATTGTAAAAGTGTTAAAAAAAAGCAACGCTTTCTTTATGCATTAATTATTATTCATTTTTAAGTTTTGTGAAACTGTTACGAATATAATTTGTGCATTTGATCGAGATAAAAACTGTTCAGTTGTTTAAAATGTTTTTGCATAAGCTTACAAATTTCTGGGCAGTTATTGCGATAAACGTAAGTAAAATATTTACACAATTGAACATGTGAAAAGATATATCCAAAAATTTATATAGGTACATTCTGTAATTCAGCTTAATTCAAGGTAATTTCTTTGAGATTTATAAATATGAAACGCGCTAAACTGAAATCATTGAATTCACATAAATCTGGTTTATTTTATTAATATTTATTTGCTTGTTGATATAGGTTGTGAAAAAAATCTATTTAAAACATTCATTAAAAAAAAGCACATGTTACCATTTTTTTAGATAATTATCTGCTATTAATTTCAGGTAAAAATTATTCTAAGTGATTCTTTAATAAATTGTAATAATATTGCGAATAAATCAGAAATATCACTTCTTAAAGAAACAATTGGAAAGTATACCCAACAAGTTGATAATTAAAAACCTATACAAATTCTTGAAGTTATGCAGAAAAACATCATTTAGATTTCGAACTATTTCTTAATGATTTTCTGTACTTAGTAAATTACGGATATCATCTTTATAACTTTAAAACAAAAAACTAACAATAACGAAGCATTTCATTATAAATTTAAGATATTTTTACTGGAAAATCCCTGCATTTAACAGCTGAGAAACACGTACGTTTCACTACCGTATGGCAAATATTTTGAAGTTACAAACATGGACGCCGCTTATTCCGTGGAGCTTCATTCCCCGATAGTGGAAGAAACTGCGATCCCTCCCTCCTTCTATTCTAACCTCCTTGGGATAAAGCCGTCTTTTTTTTTCTTCCACAAAACTTTCCTGAGAAATGTCGAAAAAACTGTAATGTTCCGTTCAAAAATAGTACGTTTGGTCAACCTATTGTTAGCGTAAGTCAGTTCCAAGTCCTCCGTTCGCTTTTTAAATCTATCTACGAAGCCACTTGAATTTCTTTTGTCTTTAAGGGCAAATTTGTAGAGTTTTAAATTTGACGTGGCGGCGAATTTAGGTTTTTGTATTCATGGTCGTACAGAAAGATGGAAAGCAATGAGAATGGTATGAATAATATTTTAACAGCTGGGAGTAGTGTAGATAATTATGTGCATGTGAAGTGTGAAACTTGAAAATATGTTAGTACAGAAGCATTTTATCTTATATATCTGATTACAAGGCGCTGTAAAAATTCGTTTGATTATTTCGTCCAGTTGTGTGGAGAAATAAAGAAATAATCATTATAAATTAAATCTAAATGAACAACCCGTCAGTAGTCGTATGTAAATGTGTGAAGTTAAACTCTAAATTTTTTCAGTGTATATAAATTGTAAATAAGAGCTGAAGATACGGCAGTCTCAGAACAAAAAGTAGAACGCATATTCTTTTATGTATGCTCGATTTAAAATTTTCTGTTTTGTTGTCACTTCAATTTAAAAGATGAATGATGTGACTTGATAACACTGAAAAGTTGTAATATTCTTATGCTCGTGAAACTCTTATCATGAACCAGGTTCAATTATTGGGAAACATAAGGATTAAAGTGTGAAGTGTATATCTCATTTGAATTATGATGTTGCCGTAAATTTTCTGTTTGGAGAGTGAGGATTCATTGAAGGGAAATGTATATGGTACAGAGATATTTTCGGAAAATTCATGATTGATTGGGAGTTGTTTAATAGTATCTGCTTTTCTGTAGTGTTTCCTTTCGTATTGTTTTCTAAATTGATGCAAAGCTGTATCACAGACATAATATTTGTTTCCATTATGATTCTAGCTCTGGCAAATAGGGTGCTCACAAGACTCATCTTATGGGTATTTAAGCATTAATACTTTCTCTTTGTTTTTAAGAAATCATATGTAATTTCATTTGCACACTGTAATGGTGCTATGATGGAGAAGCTGAATTATCTGTATTCATTTTAAATTTAAAATCCTATGAAGCTTCATACAGTCTGGGCTAATTTTTTTAAAAACTTTTTATTATTAAGAATAACGGCAAAATCTAACATTTGTGTTTCACTGAAGTAAATAGAATATTGAATTAGATTAAATGTAAAATATAAGTAATGGAAACAAAACTCCATTTAAAACACAAATTAAGAGTGTAAATTTCTGTAAAATACTTGAATCTGATGTTGTTGTCTTGTCTATGATGAAGCCTATTCAAATAGTGCCATGGGTGAAAATGCTAATCCTGGCAATCTTCAAAATGTTATCATCATAGAGGTCCGGTGTCTTAAACAAGACCCCAATTTTTAACAATTCAGCAAGGATGGCTGGACAATAAAAAATGTAGACTGATCTTTGGAATATGGTAACTGGTAGTTTGGCGACATTTTGGAGGCGATAAAGGTTACTACCTAGGACTTTGGTAATAATGTGAGAAGTACTGAGTTCCGATTACGCATTATTTTGTGTGAGGGAAATGAGAGATCGTGAGATATGTCATGTGACATTAATGGACAAATTACAGTTCTTTTAATCGGAAAAAAGGGGGGACTGGAAAGTCTGGAAAAAAAATCTGTCAATTTGTATTTAGCTTTATTCTGTGTTGTGCGAAAACAATGTTGGTTAATTTTTGGATCCCATTGGCCCTAACTAAAGTGAATTTGAAATGGGTATTTAGTGGGATTGAAAGGGGTAGTATTAAGTGTTTTTTTAAGGTTGTGCGAGATAGAAGTAAAGATGTTTTATTAAGTTATTTATTTTACCTGGTACCTTGCTGTGAACTATAAGTATGATTGGTTGATCTTTACATTATGGTAACTTGGTGCTTTTTGGCGAAAAAAAATTTGGCCGACCAACTCTCCTACAGCAACCCCCTATTTTTTTTTCCTGTCGCCATTTTGTGTTCACGAAAGTAAAGACATTTTCTTTCTTTTTATTACTACTGAACACTTCTTCCAACAATCTACTAGCCGAATTACACTTATGCTAAAAATTTTATCTAAACAAAACTGCTTAATCATGACAAATATTCACTGCAAAAATTGGGAAAAAGTGCACAATACCATACTCCTCCTTACGCGTTTTTCAAAATAACACATACACATAAACCATGTACACGCCGACTTATTTTTACTTAAAAAACATCCCAGAATTGCACAAAAATGGCATTGCGCACACTCTTCACTATATCCATGTACACTGCTTTTTTCTCATAAATTAGAAAAATTTCACGAAAATACATGACAATTTTCTCAATCTTTAAACCCGGTAAAAAGAACATGTATGAAATTACCTGATCGCGAAAAAGTATTTACCCTTTCCAAATATAAACATTTCCACATATAAAATAAATAAAATATCCAAAAACTTTACCTCTAAATCATCTATTATATATAAACGTCACCAACGAATTCATACCACAACCATTACAAATACTTAGTGTCAGATATTTAAATTATTTCCATGCACGTTTACTTCAACTAAAACGTATACCAAATTCCTACAAACATAAAATTCACAAAATAACTATCATTTAATTAAAATATAATTAAATTCAAAAACACTACTTAAAATATAAATAAGCACATACATTAAATTAATAAAAATTAGCTTACAATCCTAATTACTTTAAACTAAATCATTGCTAATAACAATTTTCCCAATAATACCAAATTACTTTACTTCCACCTTACAATGCATAAAAATAATATCCTCAAATAATGATGAAAAATACTAACTACCTAATCTTCTTCAGAATCTTGATTATGTGATAAACTTTTCTTTAGTTACGGCCATGGGATCCAAAAAATTCACGAAACACTGTTCACACAACACAGAAATAAACCAAATACAAAAATTTCCAATTAAAGAACCGTAATTCGTCCATTAATATCACATGACATATCCATGATCTCTCATTTCCCTCACACAAAATAATGCGTAATCGGAACTGAGTACTGCTCACATTATTACCAAAGTCCCAGGTAGTAACCTTTATTGCCTCCAAAATGTCGCCAAACTACCAGTTACCATATTGTAAAGATCAACCGTATGATTTTAAAGATCCTGAAACAGGCGCACATACGCTTGCTTTTTATTTAGCGGAGGAAATAAGAAAAAGTTTATCGGCCACGTAATCAAGATTCTGAAGAAGATTAGGTAAGTTAGTATTTTTAATTATTTGGAGGATATTATTTTTATGCATTGTTCTAATGTGTAAGGAGTAAATAAAGTTATATGGTATTATGGAAAATTGTATTAGCAATGATTAGTTTAAAGTAATTAGGATTGTAAGCTAATTTTTATTAATTTAATGTATGTGCTTATTTATATTTTAAGTAGTGTTTTGAATTTAATTATATTTTAATTCAATGATAGTTATTTTGTGAATTATATGTCTGTAGGGAATTGGTATACGTTTCATTTGAAGTAATATGCATGGAAATAATTTAAATATTTTACACTAAGTATTTGTAACCATTTGTAATGTTTGAGGTATGAATTCGTTGGTGACGTTTAATATAATAGATAATTTAGAGGTAAAAGTTTTGGGATATTTTTATTATTTTATACGTGGAAATGTTCATCTTTGGAAAGGGGTATATACTTTTTCGCGATCAGGTAATTTCATATATGTTCTTTTTACCGGATTTAAAGATTCACAAAATTTTCATGCATTTTCGTGAAATTTTTCTAATTTATGAGAAAAAAGGGTTGATCTTTGGATTATGCTAACTTGGCGATTTTTTGGCGACCAACTCTGTTACAGCAACCCTCTGTTTTTTTTCGCCACCATTTTGTCTTCACGAAGTAAATACATGTTTCTTTTCTTTTTATATACTCAACACTTTTTCCAACAATCTACTAGCCAAATTACACTTATGCTAGAAATGTTATGGAACAAAACTGCTTAATCAAGCAAATAATAACTGCAAAATTGGGAAAAAGTGCAGAATCGCAAACTCCTTGCCGCGATTTTCAAAATCGCACATACACAGTAACCATGTACATGTCGACTTATTTTTACTTAAAAAAAATCCCAGAATTGCACAAAAATGGCATTGCGCACACTCTTGACTTTATCCATCTAAACTGCTATTTTCTCTCAAATTACAAAAATTTGCACAAAAATGCAGGAAAATTTTGTGAATCTTTAAACTCGGTAAAAAGCACATATATGAAATTACCTGTTCGCGAAAAATTATATACCCTATCCAAGGACGAATATAAATAAAATATCCAAAAACTTTTACCTCTAAATTATCTATTATAAACGTCACCAACGAATTCATAACAAAACATTAAAAATGGTTACAAATACTTAGTCTCAAATATTTAAATTATTTCCATGCACGTTTATTTCCACTGAAACGTATACCAAATTGCTACAAACATATAATTCACAAAATAACTATCATTTAATTAAAATATAATTAAACCATGTACACGTCGACTTATTTTTACTTAAAAAAACAACCCAGAATTGCACAAAAATGGCATTGCGCACACTCTTCACTATATCCATGTATACAGCTTTTTTCTCATAAATTAGAAAAATTTCACGAAAGGCATGAAAATTTTGTGAATCTTTAAATTCGGTAAAAAGGACATATATGAAATTACCTGATCGCGAAAAATATATACCCTTTTCAAGGATGAACATTTCCACGTATAAAATAAATAAAATATCCAAAATCTTTTCCCTCTAAAGGTACTATTCTGTTTTGAGTGCCGTAAGAAAATTGCAGCGAAAATGAATGCACCAAATCTAGCAAACGCGCCCATTTAACACCACGCCAAATTTAGCGTACGCATTGATTTCAGATTGTGTAAGTTTATATAGTTCTATATTTCTTAAGACGCCATTGAAATGCTAGTTTAATTTTTAAATCCTTTATTGATATCCTATGGATTTAACAATTTGGGAATTGCCCATGACGAAAACTCGGCAATAGAATTTTGGGTAAAGTGCAGAATCTCCCACTGCTTGATGCGTTTTTAAGAATTGCGCATACTCGGTATCCATGTACACAACGACTTATTTTCACTTAAAAAAAAAATCCCAGAATTGCACAAAAATGGTACTGCGCACACCCTTGACTTTATCTATGTAC